GAGTTTCCCCTTTAGGGGCGGAGTTTCCCTTTAAGGGGCGGGGTTTCCCCTTTAGGGGCGGAGTTTACTCTTTAAGGGGCGTGGTTTCCCCTTTAGGGGCGGAGTTTCCCATTCAGGATCAGGATTTTCCCACTTGTGGGCGTGGTTTCTGCGTAGGGGGCGGGGTTATTTTTGCGGGGGCGTGGTTTGCGGCACGGGGGCGGGGCTCTGGCGAGGCCACGCCCCCCTGAGAGCGCCCCCCGCAGGCCAAGGACAGCGACGATGAGGAGGAGGTGGTGACGGTGGACAGGGACCACTTCATGGACGAGTTCTTCGAGCAGGTGGGACCCCGAAAACGGCCTCGGGACCCCCAAAAACGGACTCAGGACCCCCAGAAACGGGCTTGGGACCCCCAAAAATGGGTTCAGGACCCCCAAAAACTGGATCGGGACCCCCAAAAATGGGTTCAGGACCCCCAAAAATGGGTTTGGGAGCCCCAAAAATGGGGTCAGGAGCCCCAGAAACCCCCCAGGGACCCCCAAAAATGGGTTCAGGACCCCCAAAAATGGGTTTAGGACCCCAAAAACGGGCTCAGGACCCCCAATAATGGGTTTAGGAACCCCAAAAATGGGTTTGGGAGCCCCAAAAATGGGTTCAAAAAAATTCCCAAAAATCCCCCAAATTTCCCCAAAATAAAAAAAATCCCCCAAAACCCAAAAAAATTCCCCAAAAATTCTCCCAAAATTGCCCAAATTCCCCCGAAATTCCCAAAAATGCCCCAAAAATTCCCCAAATTTTCCCAAAATTCCCAAAATGCCCCAAAAATTCCCCAAAATCCCCCAAATTCCCCCAAAAAAATCCCCAAATTCCCCCAAACTTCCCCCCAAATTCCCAAATTTTCCCAAAACCCAAAACAATTCCCAAAAAATTCCCCCAAATTCCAAAAATTCCCCCAAATTCCCCAAAATAAAAAAATCCCCCAAAACAAAATTCCCCCAAAACCCAAAAAAATCCCCAAAAATTTCCCCCAAATTCCCCAAAAATCCCCAAAAATCCCCCGAAATTTCCAAAAATTTGCCAAAATTTTCCCCTGAAATTCCCCAAAATTGCCCAAAATGCCTCAAAAATTCCCCCAAAATGCCCCAAAATTCCCAAAATTTTCCCCAGAAATCCCCAAATTTTCCAAAAATTCCCCAAATTTCCCTGAAATCCCCGAATTTTCCCAAATTTCCCTGAATTCCCCCCAAATTTGGGGCAGGTGGAGGAGATCCGGGGCTGCATCGAGAAGCTCTCGGAGGACGTGGAGCAGGTGAAGAAGCAGCACAGCGCCATCCTGGCCGCCCCCAACCCTGATGAAAGTGAGATTTAATTAATTAATTAGCTAATTAATTAATTAATGGGGTCGTTAATTGGGTTATTGGGTCATTAATGGGGTTTTTTGGGTCATTAATGGGGTTTTTGGGTGATTAATGAGCGGCACAGTGCCATCCTGGCCGCCCCCAACCCCGACGAGAGTGAGTTTAATTAATTAATTAGCTAATTAATTACTTATTGGGGTCATTAATGGGGTTATTGGGTCATTAATGGGGTTTTTTTGGTAATTAATGGGATTTTGGGGTGATTAATGAGAGGCACAGCGCCATCCTGGCCGCCCCCAACCCCGACGAGAGTGAGTACTAATTAATTAATTTGCTAATCAATTAATGGGATCGTTAGTTGGGTCGTTAATGGGGTTATTGGGTAATTAATGGGATTTTTTGGGTCATTAATGGGGTTATTGGGTGATTAATGATTGGGGTTATTGGGTGATTAATGGCCGCCCCCAACCCCGATGAAAGTGAGTTTAATTAATTAATTAGCTAATTAATTACTTATTGGGGTCATTAATGGGGTTATTGGGTCATTAATGGGGTTTTTTTGGGTCATTAATGGGATTTTGGGGTGATTAATGAGAGGCACAGCGCCATCCTGGCCGCCCCCAACCCCGACGAGAGTGAGCTAATTAATTAATTAACTAATTAATTAATGATGTGTTACATTATGGGGTCGTTATGGGGTTATTGGGTCATTAACGGGACTTTTTGGGTAATTAACGGGGTAATTGGGTGATTAATGAGCGGCACGGCGCCATCAGCGCCATTGGTCAGTGACTGGTCACTCAGAGTCACTGGTGGTCACTCCTGGTCACTTGTGGTCACTCATAGTTACTTGTGTTCACTTGTGGTCACTCGTGGTCACTGGTGGTCACTCATGGTCACTCGCGGTCACTCGCGGTCACTCGCGGTCACTCGTGGTCACCAGTGGTCACTCGCGGTCACTCCGCTCCCCGCAGAGACCAAGCAGGAGCTGGAGGACCTGACGGCCGACACCAGGTACTCGATGTAGCGAGCGCTGAGGGACCAGAGTGACCAGCGAGTGACCACCGAGTGACCACCGAGTGACCACCGAGTGACCGCTGGGTGGACGCTGAGTGACCACTGAGTGACCGCTGTCCGGCCGCAGCCATCGAGCAGAGCATCGAGCAGGAGGAGGGGCTGAACCGCTCCTCGGCCGACCTGCGCATCCGCAAGACGCAGGTGGGGCCTTCATCATCCTCATCATCGTCATCGTCGTCGTCGTCGTCATCATCATCGTCGTCATCATTGTCATTAATTTAATTGGCTCCATTTTCATCATCATCGTCATCATCATTGTCATTAATTTAATTGGCTTCATCTTCATCGTCATCGTTATTGTTATTGTCATGGATTCATCTTCATCCTCATCATCATCGTCATCATCGTTGTCATTAATTTAATTGGCTTCATCCTCATCATCATCGTCATCTTCATCATCATCATTGTCATCATCCTCATCGTCATCGTCGTCATCATCATCGTCATTAATTTCATTGGCTCCATCTTCATCTTCATCGTCGTCATCGTCATCGGTTTTATCTTCAGCATTGTCATTGGCTTGGTCTTCATCATCATCATCATCATCGTCATTGTCATCATCATTAACTTCATTGGCTTCATCTTCATCATCTTAATTAACTTTATTGGCTTCATCGTCATCATCATCGTCATTGTCATCATCATCATTGGATTCATCTTCATCATCATCATCGTAATTAATTTCATTGGCTTCATCTTCATCTTCATCATCGTCATCGTCATTGTCATGGATTCATCTTCATCATCATCATCATCATCATCATCGTCATCATCGTCATCATTGTCATTAATGTCATTGGCTTCATCTTCATCATCGTCATCATTGGTTTTATCTTCGTCATCGTCATCATCATTGTCATTAATTTAATTGGCTCCGTCTTCATCATCATCGTCGTCATCGTCATCGGTTTTATCTTCATCGTTGTCATTGGCTTGGTCTTCATCATCATCATCATCATCATCGTCATCATTGTCATTAATGTCATTGGTTTCATCCTCATCATCATCGTCATTGGTTTTATCTTCATCATCATCATCATCGTCATTGTCGTGACTTCATTGGCTTCGTCTTCATATTCATCATCTTCATCGTCATTGGATTCATCTTCATCATCATCATTGTCATTAATGTCATTGGCTTCATCTTCATCTCCTTCATCATCGTCGTCATTATTAATTTCATTGGCTTCATCGTCATCATCATCGTCATTGGCTTCGTCTTCATCATCATCATCGTCATCGTCATTGGCTGCGTCGTCATCGTCGTCATGGGGACCATCGACATCATCTTCATCATCGTCATCATCATCGTCACCAGCATTGCCGTGTACGATCTCACCTGTCAATCATCTCACCTGTCAATCACATGTCAATCCCCTGTCAATCCCCGTCAATCTCACCCGTCATTCCCCTGTCAATCACCTGTCAATCACCTGTCACTCTCACCTGTCAATCATCTCAGCTGTAAATCTCTCCTCTATGACCTCAGCTGTCAATCTCACCTGTCAATCCCCTGTCAATCCCCGTCAATCTCACCTGTCAATCCCCGTCAATCCCCTATCAATCACACCTGCCAATCCCCTGTCAATCCCCTGTCAATCTCACCTGTCAATCCCCTGTCAATCACATGACAATCACCTGTCAATCACCTGTCAATCCCCTATCAATCACCCATCAATCACACCCGTCAATCCCCTGTCAATCACACCTGTCAATCTCATTTGTCAATCACACCTGTCTCTCACCCATCACTCCCCTGTCAATCTCATCTGTCAATGCCCTATCAATCCCCTGTCAATCCCCTATCAATCACCCATCAATCACACCCGTCAATCCCCTGTCAATCACCCCTGTCAATCTCATTTGTCAATCACACCTGTCTCTCACCCATCACTCCCCTGTCAATCTCATCTGTCAATGCCCTATCAATCCCCTGTCAATCCCCTGTCAATCCCCTGTCAATCCCCTGTCAATCACACCTGTCAATCCCCTGTCACTCTCACCCATCACTCCCCCATCACTCCCCTGTCAATCTCCTATCAACCCCCTGTCAATCCCCACTCAATCCCCTGTCAATCATCCGTCAATCACCTGTCACTCTCCTCTCACTCCCCTGTCAATCACCTGTCAATCATCCGTCAATCACCTGTCACTCCCCTCTCACTCCCCTGTTAATCACCTATCAATCCCATGTCAATCACACCTGTCACTCCCCTGTCAATCATCCGTCAATCACCTGTCACTCCCCTCTCACTCCCCTGTTAATCACCTGTCAATCACATGTCAAATTCACCTGTCAATCACCTGTCCATCCCCTATCAATCATCCATCAATCACCTGTCACTCCCCTCTCACTCCCCTGTTAATCACCTATTAATCACATGTCAATCGCACCTGTCAATCCCCTGTCAATCACCTGTCAATCACCTGTCACTCCCCTCTCACTCCCCTGTTAATCACCTATCAATCACCTGTCAATCACACCTGTCAATCACCTGTCAATCACCCATCAATCACATAACAAATTCAGGGTCACTGGGAGTCATTGGTCACTCATGGGAGTGGTCAGCGCCCGCTGACCGCTGCAAGGACCGGATCCAGAGACAGCTCGAGATCAGTGAGGGTCACTCAGGGGTCACTCGGGGGTCACTCAGGGGTCACTCGGGGTCATTGGTCACTCAGGGGTCACTCATTGGTCACTCAGGGGTCACTCTGGGGTCACTCTGTGGTCACTCGGGGTCATTGGTCACTCTGGGGTCACAGGAGTCAGTGGTCAGTGTGGAGGGGCTGACCCATGGGAGTGGTCACTCTCGAGGTCAAGGGGTCACTCTGGGGGTCAGGGGTCAGCGGGAGGGAGTGGTCAGTGAGGGGGAGGGGTCGGTGGTCACTCTGGGGGTCAGGGGTCAGTGTGGGGTTGGTGGTCACTCTGGGGTCATCAGGGGTCACTCTGGTTCCAGTGGTCACTCAGTGGTCACTCAGTGGCCGCAGGGTTCAGTGGTCAGTGGGGAGGTCAGTGGTCACTCAGTGGTCACTCAGTGGCCACAGGGGTCACTCTGGGTGTCAGCGGTCACCCAGCGGTCACTCAGTGGTCACTCAATGATCACTCCGGGTTCAGTGGCCACAGGGGTCAGTGGGGGGGTCAGTGGTCACTCTGGGGTCAGTGGTCACTCTGGGGTCACTCTGAGGTCAGTGGTCACCCAGTGGTCACTCAGTGGCCACAGGGGTCATTCTGGGGGTCAGTGGTCACTCAGTGGCCACAGGGGTCACTCTGGGGTCAGCGGTCACTCAGCGGTCACTCAGCGGTCACTCTGTCCCGCAGCCGGCCGGACCACGACCAACGAGGAGCTGGAGGACATGCTGGAGAGCGGCAAGCTGGCCATCTTCACCGACGACGTGAGTGACCGCTGCGGCCACGGGGTCACTGGGGGTCACTGGGAGTGACCAGGGGTCACTGGGAGTGACCGGGGGTCACTGGGGTTACTGGGAGTGACTGGGAGTGACCGCTGCGGCCACCGCGGCCACTGCGGCCACCGGGACTGACCAGGGGTCACTGGGGTCACTGGGGGTCACTGGGAGTGACCACTGCGGCCACCAGGGTCACTGGGAGTGACCGCTGCAGCCACGGGGTCACGGGGGTCACTGGGAGTGACCAGGGGTCACTGGGGGTCACTGGGACTGACCAGGGGCTACTGGGGCTACTGGGGTCACCAGGTGACCACCTGAAGGTCCCCAGGACCAGCTGACCACCAGGTGACCACCAGGTGACCACCTGGACATCCTGGGTGACCACCTAGTGACCTCCAGGACCAGGTGACCCCCAGGTGATCCTGAGTGACCACTTGGTGACCACCTGGTGACCTCCAGGACCAGGTGACCACCTGGTGACCACCTGGAGATACCTGGTGACCTCCAAGACCTGGAGATACCTGGTGACCACCGGGTGACCCTGGGTGACCACCTGAAGGTCCCCAGGACCAGGTGACCCCCGCGTGACCCCCGGGTGACCCCGGTGACCCCGGCGTGTCCCCGCAGATCAAGATGGACTCGCAGATGACCAAGCAGGCGCTGAACGAGATCGAGACGCGGCACAACGAGATCATCAAGCTGGAGACCAGCATCCGCGAGCTGCACGACATGTTCGTGGACATGGCCATGCTGGTGGAGAGCCAGGTCCGGCCGGAGTGACCACTGGTCATCGGGAGTGACCACTGGTCATCCTGAGTGACCACGGGTCATTGGGAGTGACCACAGGTCATCCTGAGTGACCACGGGTCATTGGAAAGGGTTATGGGTCATTGGGAGTGACCAGTGGTCATCGGGACCCACCAAAGCCGACCAAGATCCATTGAGGGTCACCAAGGACCCACCCAAGGTCACCTAGAAGTGACCACTGGTCATTGGGAGTGACCACAGGTCATCCTGAGTGACCACGGGTCATTGGAAAGGGTTATGGGTCATTGGGAGTGACCAGTGGTCACTGGGAAGGGTTACAGGTCAATGGGAGGAGTTAGAGGCCATTGGGAGTGACCAGTGGTCATCTGGACCCATTGAGGGTCATCAAGAACCTCTAGAAGGTCACTTGGACCCATCGAGGGTCATCTCGAGTGACCACAGGTCATTGGGAGTGAGCGCTGGTCATCCTGAGTGACCACTGGTCATTGGGAGTGACCAGTGGTCATCTGGAGCCATCAAAGCTGACCAAGATCCATTGAGGGTCACCAAGAACCCACCCAAGGTCACCTAGAAGTGACCACTGGTCATTGGGAGTGACCACCGGTCATCCCAAGTGACCACCGGGTCATTGGGATGGGTTACAGGTCATTGGCAGTGACCAGTGGTCATTGGGAAGGGTTACAGGTCATTGGGAGTGACCACAGGTCATTGGGAGTGACCACAGGTCATTGGGAGTGACCAGTGGTCATCTGAACCTATTGAGGGTCACTTGGACCCATTGAGGGTCACCAAGAACCCACCCAAGGTCACCTAGAAGTGACCACTGGTCATTGGGAGTGACCACCGGTCATCCCAAGTGACCACCGGGTCATTGGGATGGGTTACAGGTCATTGGGAGTGACCACGGGTCATTGGGAGTGACCAGTGGTCATCTGAACCTATTGAGGGTCACTTGGACCCATTGAGGGTCACCAAGAACCCACCCAAGGTCACCTAGAAGTGACCACTGGTCATCCCGAGTGACCACGGATCATTGGGAGTGACCACTGGTCATTGGGAAGGGTTACAGGTCAATGGGAGTGACCACCGGTCATTGGGAGTGACCATTGGTCATCTGGACCCATTGAGGGTCACTTGGATCCATTGAGGGTCATCAAGAACCCACCTTGGGTCATCTGGGAGTGACTACTGGTCATTGGGAGTGACCACTGGTCATCCTGAGTGACCACAGGTCATTAGGAGTGACCACTGGTCATCCTGAGTGACCACAGGTCATTAGGAGTGACCACTGGTCATCCTGAGTGACCACGGATCATTGGCAGTGACCACGGATCATTGGGAAGGGTTACAGGTCAATGGGAGTGACCACCGGTCATTGGGAGTGACCATTGGTCATCTGGACCCATTGAGGGTCACTTGGATCCATTGAGGGTCATCAAGAACCCACCTTGGGTCATCTGGGAGTGACTCTGGTCATCTTGAGTGACCACTGGTCATTGGGAGTGACCACCGGTCATCCTGAGTGACCACGGGTCATTGGGAAGGGTTACGGGTCAATGGGAGTGACCAGTGGTCATCTGGACCCATTGAGGGTCATCAAGAACCTCTAGAAGGTCACTTGGACCCATCGAGGGTCATCTCGAGTGACCACAGGTCATTGGTAGGAGTTAAAGGCCATTGGGAGTGACCACTGGTCATTGGGAAGGGTAAGAGATCATTCAGAGTGACCCCTGGTCATTGGGAGTGACCACCAGTCATTGGGAGTGACCAGTGGTTACCATGAATGACCAGCAGTCACTCTGACTGACCAATGGCCACCTTCACTGACCCATGGTGACCATGACTGACCAGTGGTCACTCTGACTGACCAGTGGTCACTCTGGCTGACCAGCGGTCACTCTGGCTGACCAATGGCCACCATTACTGACCAGTGGTCACTCTGGCTGACCAGTGGCCATTATCACTGACCAGTGGTCACTCCCAATGACCAGTGGTCACTCTGACTGACCAGTGGTCACTCTGGCTGACCAGTGGTCACTCTGACTGACCAGTGGTCACTCTGACTGACCAGGGCGAGATGATTGACCGCATCGAGTACAACGTGGAGCACTCGGTGGATTACGTCGAGCGCGCCGTGTCCGACACCAAGAAAGCCGTCAAGTACCAGAGCAAGGCCCGGAGGGTCAGCGGCCAAACTGGGGATACTGGGAGGGACTGGGATGGACTGGGAGGGGTTTGGGGGGGCCTGGGGGGGACTG